AATAATCTTCCCTCTCTCATGTCACTTCACAGAGTGCAAATGTGTTTAATCAAAGTTGCGATTGTGTGTGTGTGTGTGTGTGTGTGTGTGTGTAGGTTTGAGCCTATAAAGCTGTTGTTACTGGCTGTAGGAGGGGAGTTTTTCTCCAGTTTGGCTTCAAGCTGCAAACCTCAGACTTATACACACACACAACGTGGTCTGTTAAAGTGTATGGAGGGAATGCTGTGGTCACACCTGGGAATGCTTTTTCAGCGAACCTGCCCAAGCATTTCTCCCTCCCCATCATTTCCACTGATTTGAGGAGCAAAGAAAGAAAATACATCTACTTCACTCATTTTTCTTTCAGTTTCCAAGTGGGACTGAGTAACAGGAAGAAAATAACTGTTAGATTGATTATTTACAGTTAAACTTTCTTCTGACAAGTCAAAAGACATTCAGACAGGAATAAATGTTGTTTTTAGGCAATCAACAAAAACACTTTCTTTCTTTACTTTTGTATTTGCCTATGTTAAACATATAGTTAATAAATTGCAGAAATAAATGAACTTCTAATAGGTGAGAAACCCTTATCAACTGTCACACATACAGGAGCAAATGGGAGCAGAAAATGGATGAAGAGAATTGTTTAACCTTAAACAAACTGAGAAAATAATATTTTATTATGTTATTTTTTCTCCTTTGCTTCCTACAATGTTATTGGATGTGAGACCACTTTGAAAATACCTCCTTGCACATTCAAATCCCGATGTCATACACCCACATAGACATTTTATCCCAAACTAACTCCATTTGATATGATAAAGATAAATTTTCAAAAAAAATATATACTCTCACTTAATATTTAATATAATCTTGAGAAGATTTTTTTTTACACAGTTCCTATAGATTGTGGTTAAAATTCATGTTTAACTCCTTAGACCTTTGGAAATATTTAAAATGATGACCAACATTTGAACCAAACAACTTTGAGAGAGCTCCTGCTGATAGATAATATTGATTATCTACCAGTTGACTATCCAAAGTAGGTGCGAACTGACATATGGTCAATACACAAATTCTTGAGGGACAGGACCATACCTGTGAATAAATGAAATTGTGAAAAAATTAAATGACCAGCACCCCTTTGAAATCAATACATATCAACTTAATTCACAGTGTACAGTACACTACCGGTCAAAAGTTTTAGAACCACTTTGTCATTTAATGGTTTTCTTTATGTTTATTACAATTTACATTGTACAAAGATTCTCACTGAATGCATCAAAACTGTGAATGAACACATATGCAGTTATGTAAGCAAAGAAAAATTGTAAAATAACTTTAAAAATGTTTTATATTTTAGATTGCTTAATGTAACCATCTACTTGCTGTAATGACTGAAATATTAACCTTTGGCCATCTCTCAATGAACCTCTGGGAGGTTCTTCCAAGACTCCTTGGAAAACCATTTCAGATGGCCACCTCATGAAGCTCATGGAGAGAATGCCAAGAGAGCAAAGCAGTAATAAAAGCTTTACTATATAATTCCATGTGCGTTCATTCACAGCTTTGTTGCCTTTGGTGAGAAACTACATTGTAAATAGTCTTGAAAAAAACAAAACCCATTAAGTGAGAAAGTGTATCTAAAACCTTTGACCGGTAGTGTATATTTTTCAATACCATATATTACACTATCAGAAACTATTTTGAAATGTTGTAAACTTTGTAAACCCTGCCCCTGGATTTCCAAACTCAAACAAATAATTTTTACTAGAAAACTTTCCATTGCAGTTCTGCAGCCGTGTGCAGCGAGACCGTTGGGACATTTCCAGTGTGCGAAGGCTTGTATTAGTTTTTATTTGGGTCAGCTGCACCAGTGTTTAGCCGAATCCCATTTCAACCAATCTCCTCTTTTTATCCCTCATCCTCCACTTTGCACCATAATTCTTGAGGGGTCTGATGACACTGTTTGTTTTGGTCGTCCACTGGGAGTGCTAATATGTATTGAGTGTCATTTAACCGATTACCTTTACCATTGTACTTTGCTTGGTGTCATTGTCATATTTGCTTACTAAAAGTGTGACTTTCAAGGCAACAAGAAAACAACTATAGTCTCTGCTTTGATGCATCCAAATGTACAGTTTTACATTTTGGTGTTATCTTGCTCATTTTTTCTACACAAGCAAGGCTCTTTACATACAGGTGACATTCAGTGTATTGGCCTCATAAAGGAATGTCCCATTTCACAGAAAAAAATCCACTCTTTGAAGTAATTGCCAGGGGATACACTGTGGCTAATACTTGAAAATGGGATTTGGCCAGCGACTTAGGATTCTGCAGTATTCAGTACAACCCAATAGGTGGCAATAATAAGCAAGTTCATCAACACTATTCAAAAGGGAAGAAATTTAAAAAAATAGTCATCCTAAATCAGGAATTTAAAAACACTTAGCGATAAATTAGCCAGCATAACAGCAATCTTCTGAATATCATTTTTCAAAACAAGCATTCTTGTACTTTGTCTCCCATTGCATGTAACAATTCATCCATTCATTATATCACACACAGGCAGTCAAATAGTAAGATGGTGTCGTAATGCACATAGCCTCACATTGTGAATGTTAATTCTGATTTGATTGGAACTGAAGTGATTTTAAGCTGGAGTTATTGGATTTAGACCGACTCTAATCCTAGTTTAATGAAGGGCACTTTAGTAGACTGCTTGTCTCTTTCATCATCCTGGACTTCAGCCCATCACAGTCTAAGTGGTTAAGTCATCAATCAGTTTATCCTAAATAAGGTTGCTTGTGTCTATATTATTGATCAATGCATTTTGTATTTTCTAATAGCCTAAGTCATGTTTATGACTTAAGGAAATTACAAAATACAAAAATGCAGTGAGGCTGAAGATAATCTAAAAAAACCCCCAATGTAATAATGTTGATTAAAGGGATTTTTGGCATTGTCTGTTTTCACATACTTAGTGCCTTACTGCCTGAATCATTTTGACTTTCTTTTTCAGTTGTGTCAACACTGTAAGTATGTGTGTGTGTGTGTGTGTGTGTGTGTGTGTGTGTGTGTGTGTGTGTGTGTGTGTGTGTGTGTGTGTGTGTGTGTTTGCTGGGGTACGTGGGTCGCTCACTGACTCCCTATCCCTATGTAACTAGAGCCCACCCTTCCCTGTCAAAAATAAAAATCATTTGTCAATTGCACGAGTGTGTCCATTAAAAATGCATGGTGAAGGGAGCTTGGGGCCACTGGGGAAGAAAGCTGATACTCGGCTCTCTCCGGAAGGGCATCAGAGTGTACCACGGTGGACAAATGGCATCCAGAGAGAAAATACAGAAAGGGGAAGGAGGTTGATGGTGAGGGAAAATGGTGAGTAGTTGAATGTTGTGTTATTCCTGCTACCAGCTCAATCCTGACATGCTGATGTAAGACTAAACAGCTACAATCTAGATAAAAATGTGTCCTTATTTCCTTCTGCTGTCAATCACAAGTACATATGGAAATCGCTACATGTATGAGTTGGGAATCTGTCAGTCTGACAGGCTGAGTACATACAGATTTTCCTTTTGTCAGTTCAGAAACGTCTCATTTCCTTTTGCTCTCACCTCATATCCCTTTATGTTTTGTGTTTGTATAAGGTCTCTGAGGTAAGATCTCTAAAGTATTGCAATTAAGGGGAACTTTACAGAAAGACTTCACTATTCAAATGATTTCAAGTAGTCCAAGAGAGGCATGTTTGGGAGCGGAGCATATCTGACTAAACTGGCAGTGCTTGACATAGTTCTAATTGGCTGTTATTCTGATGTCATTAAGTGTGGTTTAGACTGCACATTTCCTACAATTCTGGTTATTTCATTGACTTTTTTTACAGACTATTTCATCCCTCCTTTTACTGCTGAACCCTAAAATGAACAAATGATCCCAATGCAAATAGACTCCAGATGGCATTTCTTACTTTTGAGACAAACATTGCAGTACTGCAGTTGGTATGGGTAACCCTTGAACTTTGAGACTGCTCTTCTCTGATGCCCTGCTTGGTAATTCCCAAAGGAAAAACTTCTCTTCCTTAATTATTTACTGACTTGTGTATTAAATGTTTAAGGTGTGTATAAGATGTGGGGCAGAGTGGATAGGTCCTTATAGCTAATAATTTGATTAATGTATGAATTGGAAAACACCTGAGAGTGGCAGTATTAAAAAGCTACTTGCAGCTTGAGACTTCTAAACTCGGGCTGCTGTTACCACTGTTGCCTCGCAGCAAGCTGACCATGTGTTTGAATCTCAGCCTTGTTGTTCCTGCATGGAGTTAACGTGTGTTCCTGTGGTTCTCTCAGGGTACTCTGACATCCTTCCACTGTTGAAAAATATGTATGTTAGGTTAACTGGTCTCTCTAAATAGACCTTAGGTATGACTGTGTGTGTGCATGGTTATGTTCTGTGTCTGTCTGTGATGGAATGGTGACCTGTCCAGGGTGTACCCTGTGTTTCAGCCAAAGACTGCTGGAGATAGGTAGCAGCCGTTCCAGAGCCCAACATGCAAAAGAATATATGGATGGGTAGATACTTCTTAGATTTGCACACACGGAAACAAAGACACAAGCGGGTGCAGACAACAAAGACATGATTATGTTCTAGATGTTTACTTGGAAATGTTATTTATCTGATTCTCATTTACTTCAATTTAAAAAAACTCTTTACCAGAGCAGCTTTTTAAAGTCTTACCTTTTTTCCATTGTCATCTGTCAGTCATTTTCTACCGCTTATTCCATAGTGGGTCGTGGGGGAGCTGGTGCCTATCTCCAGCAGTCTATGGGCGAGAGGCAGGGTACACCCTGGACAGGTCGCCAGTCCATCGCAGGGCAACACACAAACAACCAAGCACACACTCATTCATACACCTAAGGGCAATTTAGAGTGGCCAATTAACCTAACAGGCATGTCTTTGGAGTGTGGGAGGAAGCCGGAGTACCCGGTGAGAATCCACACATGCACGGGTAGAACATGCAAACTCAATACAGAAAGACCCTCAGCTGGGACTTGAACCCAGGACCTTCTTGCTGCAAGGCACCAGTGCTACCAACTGCGCCACCGTGTACCATGAGACATAATTCTTTTTTGTTATAATTTGTGTTTTAATAAGCAGCAATACCAATGAGGATTGCTTGTCATTCATCATATATCACTGAACTTGTGCCTTTTGACCAGTGAGTTATGGGTAAATGTGCAATGTAAGTCTAAAGGAGAGTAAGAGAGTCCCCTTGAAATTATAACTAGTTCCACCAAGTCATTTATCAACAATAGATTTCAAATGACTTACAGAAAATGTTAAAGAAATACCTTCCTTATCAACATACAGAAAAACAAGTATTTTAAGATTCAAACAACAATTTTATATTTAAGAGGAGATCTGGCAACACTCATACCGGTGACCATCATTGTTTGGCTGTAGCACTGCCACCTTGCAGATGACGCCATCTTTTAATTTGCAAAATTACAATTTGCATGTTATAATAATGGATGCTGTGGGAAAGTGAAAATACAAAAGACAAAAAGTGAATACTGCCTTAAAATGTTTGGAACTACAAACTAACTGTCTTATGTCGTATTTTTCACAATTCCAACCCTTTCCCTCATTCATGTTTTTTTTTAGTTACAGTTTTTATTTTTTTTATTCTGGTTTTGTCTTTAGGCTTACCGCTTAGGAACCTACTGCACGTCACGGTTAAACAACATTTGCAATGAGAACATTTTTATACAATCAACATCAAAAATCTAAAGGAAAAGAAGACAAAAATTGCTTTGAGATGGGTGTATGGGGCCATGGCTCACCTGGTCCACACTGAAAGGAGTAAATAGGATCAGAGTGGGCCCAAGGCATAAGCAAACTAAGCTACTGCTTATGGCCCCCAAACCATCAGGTGACCTACCATAAATGCTTGAATTTTAACAAAGACCTAAAATGTTTATAGAGAATGAGAATAGTAAGAAATGTGATTTACAGATTTCAGTAGATATAAATTTAAACATTTAAAATTGTTAAAAAAAATTATTTATGTTTTAAAGGAATTGACTAGTTTAATTTTGTAAAGTGCAAAGAATATTCTTCACTGTTTGATAGTTGTGTTAAAATAGGTACAGTCTAATGCAATGTGTTTTATCTTTTCTTTGTGTTTGAGCTCGGTTTGCTCACAAATACATCTCAGCAAATAATAACCAGTTATCTATGATTGCCCTTAAGGGCATTCTGTAATGAAAAATTGTCAGTGGTGGTGATGTTCTCAGCAGCAAGACAGGCCCCAAATCACATTCTGTTTAAGGCCCCATGCAACTGTGAGTCAGCCTTAAATAGGATGAATGCTTTCAAGTCAGAGTCCCTGACAACACAAAAATTGGACCAAAAATGGGTCTTAAAAAGTTGCTGTAATGATAAAGTGGGCAACACTGGCACTTTGGCAGCCATATGAATTAGCAAAATGTAGGTCATCTTCTCTCATTGTCTAAAATTATGGTAGTGTTTATTTTTTACATAGATTTAGGACCATCAGTTTGTTTTTTATTTAGCTCTGCATCTTGGGTTAAGTTAAACCAGTAGCTTCTCTCATTTGTGGATTTTAATTACTGATAGTTCCTGTTCTTTCTTGAACCAGATTATGTAGCTGATTAAGCAGTTTGTTTATTTGCCAATTTACACCCCCTTTTATGTCTCTCCCTACTTCCATTTCATACCTGTAAATAAACCACATTTTTGCCCATATACTGGCAACACTGTGTATTTGGTTATTTCTCTTGGTAGTTAAATATTGTTATGAATTATAGAGGAAAATATGGCTTAAACTCTCCCATAGCATCATTTATTTCTTTTTCTAAAGATTTTGTGTCAAAAGGTACATCTGTTCACAGTATTTAGACAGGAAATGTGCAGAAAGAGAAGGGGGGAAGACCAGCAGTGAAGGTCCCTAGTTCAGCAATCAAACCCCCCAGATGGCCACGTTGAGGATTAATAGCATCTGTAAATAGGGCACCACTTTATGCCACTCACGGTCCTTTACCTTAATTTTATTTTATTTAGATTTTGACCCTATTTTGACCCTTACAAAATATGACAGATTATGATATTTGGTCTAGTCAAAGTACCTCTGAACAATCTCCTGTAGGTAGATATTCTTTATTTTAATTTTTATACAATGGATTTAATACACTTTCATACATTTTTTTATAATAGGTTATAGAAAATAACTTTTAGTCGTTTGTCGGCAAAGCGGTCATCAATTAACCTATTGTGCTGTGGGAGAAAAATCATAAAACTATAACAAGGTACAAACTAGAAAAGGTAAAATGACCATCACCCGCTGACTGTCGCTTATCTGTTTTACTCGTACCAACTCGTGCCAGACTGCTCCTGGTTTTTGTTTTCTATTCAATACCTTGCTCTTCCTTCTGGTCACACAATGAAAGATTTGAATGGATTAAATTTCAGTTTTACAGGTCATCCTACCCTTAGGACGCAGTGAATCTTTTGCTGTTCTTGACTTGGTGGCTTGTCTGACATGTCAGTTTAGGTGATAGAAGGAATTGTGCCACTATACTCACCAGATAAATCTGTCAAAATACAGCTGTGTGTGAATTTGTGTGTTCTTGAACATATGAGACTAGGTGTATGTTGATGAATGATTTTTCCTGTGTCAAAACTGTTCACTACTTTGCTTAACCAATAAAAAATGATGTTTCATTTATGGATTTTGCAGAATTAGATCAATAAAAGCTATTTTTTACTAGTTCATTACTCCTTCTCATACATCTACCTAAGTCTGAGTTCAGTCTGACCCTCCGTTATCCCTCTTCTGGGAATCACTGTTTCTGCTTTTTTTTGCATCTCTTTCATATGCTTCCTATAACACTGACACTGTCCAATCTGGTTTGTAGAAACACCTTCTGCAAAATCAGACATTAATTCACGTACAACCAAAATAGCCCCTTCTTTCAACCAAGTAACCCCGCCAAAGAAACACATTTGGTTGTGTTTCAATAGGGCGGTCGTATCTGGAGCTAATTAAAAGGGGACCCTCTAAATTTCCTTCACACCCAGCACGAGGAAGACCTCAGATTAGAGGAATATTTTTCTTATTGCCAACTTTACTTTTTGCAGAATTCCAGTGGATAATAATGGAATCCATGTGTGCTCAGAATTGCGAGGTGTTCCCGTTTTGTTTTTGAAGACAATGGGGCAATTGCAATTTGATAAAAAAAAATGTTTCTTCCTCTTTTTGGGTTTTCACTGCAACCCTTGAAATGCTGTGTAGAATTATTAGAAGAAGGCGACTTTGTTTTTCTTATGTTCTTTACATCTCAGCGTGACATCCATGTGGAAAAAAGCTGAGAAGGTTACCTGTAAGTGATTTCAGGTTCTAACAGGAAACAATTTCCTTCGCTGAAATATAGATTCTTAAGGGTATGTGTTCACATATACCCTTTGATAAGTTTTTGAGCAGGTCCTGCCGCCACATCGATGTTCTGCTACTTGTTCCATGTGCTCCAAGCACCTGCACTTGCACAAACAAACAGTGAAGATCACCTGCAGGTTTTTTATGAACTTCGTAAATCCGTGAAACTGTGGAAGGTTGTGTTCTGCCCCCCTACGCAGTGACCCATCCTCCTCCCTCTGGATTTGAGAGAACTCTACTTTAGCAAGGAATGAATAGCCTCTTGTTACACAAACCCAAGATGGTGCTTAGGTATCACAGTATTATTCTAAGTGATGATAATAAGAGAAGCAAGACACTCTTTTATTCTCTTCTGCTTTTAGATAACCACTTGTAAATGCAGAGGAGAGCTTTAGGAGTCAGGCTTTGGTTTGCTTCTTCTTAATAGTGATAGACCTGAATCCCCTAAAAATAACACATGGGTAATTCTTATACATACACAGACACACACAGAACCATGAAGCAGAATCGTCCACATGCTGCACGCACACAAGTAATTGTGCCCACCTGGGAAAACATAATTTAGTCAGGCGCCCCTTCCTTCCACCAACACTGCTTCTATACCCTGGATATGTGTGTGCATGAGTGCATTTGTGTCTAAGCATGACCTCCTTTAGCTTTTTCTTGCTCTTTGATCCCAGAATCAATTTCACTATAATAATTTCCTGAGCCATAATCCATCCAATTACATTATATGATTTCATATAGCACCAGTTGAATATTTCTCAATGCATTCGACTGTTATTGTCAGAAAGTTGATTAATTAATTCACCAATAGCAAGTAGAAAGGTTAGAGAATACAAACTGTTTAGGTGGTGAAAAATAGTTCATGTTCCTCTAGAACCTTAAGAAGACAGTCATTTTTTTTGTTTGTCGAAGCTGAGATCATAGCAGACAACTAAGCTAACATTGTATTTCATTGTGATCTTAAAAGTGTACACATACTGGATGTGCCTTTATAACGGTTCAGATGGATTTACATTGTTGAAATAACCTTAGCATTTTGAGTTTTTCCAAGATGTCGGTGGTGTCTTAGTGCTCTGGTTTAAAAAAACAAACAGTTGAGCTCTTTGCAATGCCAACTCCCAGTCTGCCTAATCTTCACTGTATTCTTCTTTATCTAAGTTGTATTCCTCAACATTAAAAATCTCCCAGAATATGTCTGGTCTCTGCAGGGTCTTGGAGAAATCCTCTAGGGTGCATCAAGACTGTAGTTCATTCCCCATTACCTGTGACTGTTTTGGCTATGCACACAACCTCTGTGGTAAGACAGTAATAAATTGAATATTCTGGCGTCGGCATATCTGGGTCTTACGTGCTGCTATGAGGAACCTGGTAGCAGTAGTGGTTGCTTATCCATGACATCTGACCTGCACACGCCTATCTGACGTGGTCATCAGAGACCTGACTCCTTGCACATAGAGATATATAAGCTGTGCTTTCCATGGAATAGGGATCCCAACTGGGGAGAAATGCACAAACCTTCAAATTGTGCCTACAGTGAGTGTTTTGAGATTCAACGAAGTAACAAATTTTTTTTCAGGGTGCCGTTCAAATGCTAACTGTCACGCTGTCAAAGAGAAGCCTTGTCATCATAATTAGTGATACAAAGGGA